ACTGCTCCGTTATCAAAGGTTCCGTTGCCGGAGCAGAGCGTCCAGAAATATTTATCTCCATTTTACTACCTGCCTCTTCAAAGTTGGAAATTCAAGTGAAAGCGAAGAGCAGAACCTGGGGTTGTGACGATGTAGCTGTGTGGGAACCGGTAACTCAAAGGAAAGCTAAGGCCAGCTCAACCGCTGGCTGAGCAGCTGAAGAGGGTTTTTTTTTTTTTAAAAACGAGAAGTCGTTGGGGGAAATTTTCTAATGAATCCTATCCAACCATAAAATCATGTAGAAAATGAATCCTATCTGACAATAAAATAAAAGTGAAACAAATTACTAGGGTCTCATATTTGTAGGAGAAATTAATTTCATGTTTAGAATACTAATTGCTCGCTGAAGGGCCTATGACCACGTGCTGCCTGAATTTAACCTGAGCCTCAGTTTGGAGGGGCTGCAGGGGAGGGGCGGGGAGGCCTGGGCTGGAGTCTTCTGCCTGGACTCTTGCCTTTGCTGTCTCGCTCTCTGCTGCCTGAGGCTTAGTTGGTTCAATGTTGCTTGGCTTGTGTGAATTATTTCCGAAATGTTTTTTCTCTCAGACTGGGATGTGCCTGGAAATATTAGTTGTATTCCCTCCACCAGATGTGAGCTACCTCAAGGCAGGGCTGTGTCTCCTGCCTCAGACCCAGGCTCCCTGAGGGCGGGGCTGTCTCCCCTCAGACTGGGCTCCCTGAAGACGGGGCTGTGTCTCCCCTTAGACTCCCCTCCCTGAGGGCAAGGTTGTGTTTCCATCTCAGATTGAAGAAGAGAATGACACTCCTGCATCAGGCTGAGGATTCCCTGAAAGAAGGGTGTCTTGAGGGAAACTACAAATTCTTTCCTTGTTCTCTGAAAAGAGAAAAAAACACACCAACGTTTTAGGAGATTCATAGACCCCACCCAGTGTCTTCATGGCTTTTCTGTCAGATGGAGTCAAGAGCGCTAAAGTACAGACACGATGTAACAGAGGTAGTTTCTTGCATAATATAATAGTGTTGTGGAAAAATGTGTCACAGCTCACTGCTACAGCTCAATTGTAACAACCACCTGGATCCGGGTGAGAAACTAAACAGCACTCAGAGAGTTGGAGAACTCACGTTTATCACACCACTGCTCCCATAACAGTTAACATTTCAAGCTCTAGACCCTGTCTGTCGGTTTACACAGGCCTTTTATAAGCTGCCAGTTTTACACTCTGCAACATCATATGCAAATAAAGTACAACAGAAGTTAACCAGCCAGGAACAAGCTTTGTAAATAGGCCAATCAGGAGTGATGCTCCATGCAAATGAAGTACTACAAATGGACCAATCAGAAGTTAGGGAAATGGACCAATCAGAAGTGAGAGCAATAACCAATCAAAAGTGAGAGTAGTAACCAATCAGAAGTGAGTATAATAACCAATCAGGAGTGAGCTCAGGGAACCAATAGAATTCTAGGTGTAAGTTAGCCGCTTTAGAGGCAAAAAGTGAGATAAAGCCTCTGGGCCAGGGAACCGGACGGTGCTGGGAGGAGAGCAGCAGCCCTGCTTAGGGGTCCTTCCCGTCTTATGGGGCTCCCCGCCTCAATGGGACATGTGATGTTTTCCTTTTGCCTTTTTCACCCTGAATGCCTCATGGTGGGAGATATGAGTTAATTCCCAATTGCCCACATGTGAGTAATTATATTAGTAGATTATCTGTGAAATGTTAAAAAAAAAAAGAAAAACAACAACAAGAAAACCAAAATCTATCTGCCCTGTTGTCCTAGAAACTCCTGATCACTTGGCCCAGCATAAGTGGTGCCTGTTCAGCAGACACTGGGACCCGTCCCAGTGGCCCAGCTAGTACTGCAATGACTCCTTTTATTGATCTCCCGGGCCGGCACTGCATCAGCCGCTCTATGAATATGCTAGTCCTTGTACATTCTGGGGACGATAGGCTTTATTGTGGCCGTTTTACAAATGAGGCAAACAAGACTCCAAAAGCTTTACTAAATTACACAAGCATGCCTGACAACTAAGCGTTGACATGAGATTTGGATCCAGATCTATTTGAATTCTTATCTCCCACACTAAGCTTCCAAACACCAAGCACCATTAGGAAAGTCAAACAGCCTCCACTCCACCCCCCACATTCTACCAGGTGCTGGGCAGACATGGAAACTGGTCTGACACAGGTGCATTCTTGTGGACATTCAAGTCTGTGGGTTTTGTCCTAGCTTGGATCTCACATCCATTAAGACTAGCTGTGTGACTTCTGAGTGGTGTCACACCCTCTCTGGGCTCAGTCTCCTGGCTATGCAAAAAGACATTTAGACTAATCCAGCGGCATTGAAGGCCTTTCAGTGTGACCTGCTGGGACACGTGTACCTTTCCACATTAGGGTGAGTGGTGGCTGTGGTAGGGAAGAGGCATCTTTTCCTATTCCTATCCTCTGTGCCTCCCATGCCTTTGGTTCTGATCATTTTTGCACCCTGGACATGCTGAGCATATGGGTCTCTGTGTCAGGGAGATAAACCAGAGACCAAGTATGCATGCAGGTGCTATGTTAGGCTGTTTCCCAAGGCTGGGGACAGTGGATTTGCAGCCGTAGCCTCCTGTCTGTAATATAATGCCTGGCACGTTGCTCATGTGCAGTAAACAGTTGATGAACGAATACATAAATGGATGAATGAATAAATGCACGTAACCAAGAGTCAGAGTACCATAGAAGACCCCACTCCAGGTCTGATTCCTCCTCCTACCCTGCCCCATCCCCCACTCCAGCCCCCTAATCCGGAGGGCAACAGCCTCCCCTTCTGGCATGTCCTTCTGTGTCAGCTGCTGAAAACATGTCACCAACAGTTACACTCTGTCCCCATTCCCACGCCCATGGCCATTCCTACGTTCCCACTTTTCCTCGTCGACACATTTTGCTCCCACCATTTCCCTCCTTCTCTTGTTCATGCATTTACCAATTATGACAAAGCATTCTCAGAGAGAAAGGGTCTCTGGAGAAGGGAGTCTGGCCTCCTGCTTTGGCTGGGGATGTGGAAGGAGACAGGACACCTGAGCAGGTGTAGCGAACCAGGCCTCCAGGACACAGCCCACTGAAGCTGCGCCTTAAGGACAGAAAGCCTGGGCTAGAGTGCAATTAACTCCCCATTAATATGTTCATCTCTCATGCACAGAACCAAACGCCACTGTTTTACTTTAAATAATTAGCTGCTGAGAGGACATACAGTTCTGGGAAAGTAGCTGGGGCTGCAGCTGAGTGTTTATAACGTTTTAATTAAAGCCTTTCTGATAAATGTTCACCACTGCTTCTGATTCTGCTGGGAAAGAAAGACAGGAAGGAGGAAGAAGGTAGGATGAGAGGGAAAAGGAGAGGAAAGAAGTGGGAGGAAGAGAAAGAAGGAAAGGGTACACAGTGAGAAAAGGATCCGGAGAAGAGGAGCAAGGAGGAAGCTTCCTTGAAATCCCCCCTCAAGCACAGCCAGGCCCTCATGACAGCTCACACTCGCGCCGGCCATTCCTCATTCTGACCCACAGAGCTGTGAGCTCGATTTTGGAGAGAATACAAATCTTTCACTCCCTGCCCTGTGTCCCCATGTCTCTAATTCCTGTCTTTCCTGGCCTGCCCACAGCTCGTTGAGTCTCCAGTTCCCACGCCCTCACCTCCCCCATCCCTTATTCCCCTCCAACCACCACCTTCCATCATCCAATCATGGAGACCCCGTCCCCAAGGCAGCAGGGGTCACAGAGAGACTACACGGGTGTCCCTTCCTGCATGAGGGGTTGCAACTCTTCCCCTGTGGTGGGCATCCCCTTGTCTTAAAGACTCAGGTGTGTGTGTGTGTGTGTGTCTGTCTGTCTGTCTCTGGTCTCCCCTCTCTGCTGCCACCCCTCTTTGCTAGCCTTAATTACAGCAATTTAGGAGTCCTGCTTAAGATTGCAGAGTAAACCTATCAATATTTCACTTAAGAATGGATTTCTGTCAGGATGGTATCAAAGGCCTATAAATGAGAAATACGAGACTTGTTCTCAGGTAGCGACACACACACACACACACATGCACACGCACCCACACCCCACCCCTCCCTCTGATGAATTACTGACACGCGATTTCCTCTCCGTGTCTGGCTCTGGCAACAGCTGAGGGCTTTGTTCTGCTACCATCAGAGCTGAGCTTTTCTACAGGAGCTATTTGCCTAAAACACATTCAAATAAATATGAGGAAAGTGCAGCGCTGTGTCCTGGGGTTTCCTGTCGGTGAGGAGCCAAGAGACACTGCTGCTCTGTGTGCTTTCCTCTCCAGGTTTGTTGGGAGAAGAAGGGTCGTGTCCCCTAGTCAGGTGGGCAGGGTCACCAACGGGCCGGCAAGGCGCAGCGTCCACATCAGGGCAGAGAAGGGGCTGGGGCTCAGGATCCTTACTTCCCTTCTCTTCCTCTCACTCCCTGAGGATCCAGAGTCACAGAATCTCATTCTCCCCTGTGCTTCTTCAGTCTTGGGGTCTGCAAGTGGGTGACTCAGCACTGAGGACAGTATGTCCTAGGGGAGCAAACACAGGCTTTATAACCTGACAGCCTCCAGTCACTTGCTAACTATGTGATCTCAGCAAGTCACATCTTCTCTGAACCTCAGTTTCCCCAGCTCCAAATGGGGAAACAATTGTGCCCATCTCACTGAGTAGGACTAGAAATGGTAACTGGAGGTATCTCTAGGGTGGCCACTTGGGTGGCAGAGATGACAGGATGATTTCTTGATGTGGTTGGTTCTGGGTGCCACACCTTAAAAAGGACATTGACCAGCTCAATTTTTATAGAAAGAGGGCACAAGGGTGCTGAATGGCTGGGGAAACTGTGGCGTGTAATAGCAAATCGCAAGGACTGGAAGTATTTAGCCTAGAGAAGTTACGTCTCAGGGTGATGTACTTGCTTCTTTAAGTACATCTTCAGCATCTTGTCAAAGAAAGGTCAGAGGTGTTCTGTGAAGCCCCTCCAGGGAGAAATAGAAACTACAGGAAAGATTCAGATCAGAACTGTGTAAAGATGGTACCGAGTCCCCATCGCTGACCATTTTCAAGAGAGGCTGGACAACCACCCAGCAGGAATGTCACAGAGGAGACTCAGCATTCCCAGTTGGAGGCTATGATTTCATGTCATCTAGTCTCTGGTTCCATGTGGAGGGGCCTTCATTAGAGCAATAATCCTCCCCTCTCTCCATCGCCTCCCTCATTGCCTCCCTGGGGAAGAGGCGATTTTTCTGTGGACAGGTTTCGGGGAGGATCTGAGTGCTCTCCACTTTGGGGATCTTCCTGTTGACAGAATTTCTGCTTCTCCCCATTGCAGAAGTGGGGCGGGCGTTCAGCCATTCAGCTCTGTCTGAGACTCAGGAAGCCTAGAAAATTCAGGCAGGAAGTGTTACGGCGGCATTAAGGCCTCTTAGCCCTTAATGCCACAGTCACCATGATTGCAGTAGTACTGAAGGTAATACTCGGCTTCCATTTTGCTTGACTCCGTTATCTGTTTCTCAGAAAACTATGGACTGGGTGTGGAGGGAAGGGATGTCAGTCCTTGAGCCCCGGAGACCCTAATGTAGTTCAGCTTCCTAAGGTCAGAACATAGAGTGGTCGTGCCCACATGCCTTCGGATCTATTTCTAACCCTCCCTCAATCTGTTTCCCGGCTTCTTTTGCCAACTGTCCTCTGGTCAGAATCAGCCAATAAGAGGAAGTGTGGGAGGTTCCAGGATGGAAAGAGTGAGAAACCAGGGTGTTTCTCCCTCTCTCAACCTGCTGTAATGCATGCCTTCAGAGTGGCTGAATCTCCCACATGGTTCCAGCACCTGGTTTCTGGTGCCAGCACCTCCTGTTGTCCCTCCAGTCCTCAGGGTCATAGTGGTCATAGTGGCTTCCTGATCTTGCTTCCTGCTTACTTCCTCATCCCTTTTTTGGCCCCTCATCTCTCCCAATATTTGTGTAACAAATTCCCTGTATTAAATCTCCCTCCTGGAAACATCTAGAGTGGGTTATGTTTTAATGACCGGACCCTGACTGATACAGAATAGAGTGTCCACTTGGGGAAATTATGTGGCTGATTCCCCAGAAGACAAGCATCTTGAAGGCCACCATGTGATTCACAGGTACCCGGGGATCTCTTCAAACCTGAGGCCCCCTGACCTCTATGCCTCTGACTCCTGAGCATCTTAAGGAGGGATGAAGTGGTGGAGGTCACGTGGAGTTGTTCAGAGCCTCCCAGAGTAGGGTGGGACAGCCTCAGCTATGGGCCCAGGCTCT